TTTCTGGGCCCTAACCTTCCACTGGATCAGGTAAACCCAAGCAACCGATTAATTCGGAGTCGAGGTTGTGTGGAACGCATCCTATAGCACTTTGTGCCAAGATGGGTACCACTCTCTACTTACAAGTGTGCTCCCAGGTTCTCACCTTCGGAGTGTCAGCCGCTAACCACTGCCCCCAACACTTGTTAGTTTGTGTAAAATTACTTTTAAAAAATGTTTTTTATGAACCAAAAACACCCCTTTAGTGCTTGGTACTTATGGTTGTAGAAAAATCTAAACCACCAAAAATGTAATTTAAATGATATAAATTTAATTGTTCTATGATAAATTTATTTTTTAAAAAAAATTTCTGTAAGATTATCTTTATTATAAATTTTGTATTAATTAAAATAAAAAATTATTGTGAAAAAATTTTGTAGAACATGATCAATATGAGCGTTGATGCTCATCTGAGCATAGAATGTGGTGCCAAACTGAAGGAGTGTGAAGCGAGTTAGCGTTAGTGGGTGGGCTGTTAGTGGGCATGATCGGGGTGGGAATTTTCAATTCTGTGGGTAGCATTCTTGCAAGGCAAAGGTGAATGAAAAAGTCTGCAAACGCAAGGTCACGCACCAGAATGATGCTTGCGTGGACCAATCAATATTCAAGATAAATTCGAATTTTGCAGGCACACAGAGAGAGAGAGAGAGAGAGAGTCTGTTTGTATTGGAAGTGTGAGAGAAGAACTAGGGGCAAAGGCATGACAGAAATGATGTTCTGAGTATATCATCATATGAAATTTGCTGTTTCTTTCTTCCTCACTGTATCTCCATCTTTCGAGATAGATTTAGCTGTGGCATTGGCAGGGCTCGAGGCATCCACGTTGAACATTGCTAGGAAACTCAAATTATTTGGTCACCTTGAGGCTTGAGAGGTACCTCTGTTTCTCTCTAGATCTCCGTATTTGTTTTTGTGGTTGTGGGGACTTCCAAAGAGATTGGCCACTTAAAAGTTTTAAAATGGGTCTTGTTTGCTTCAAAAAATATTGGCACAACGATGAAGAATCATTCTCACGGGAGCATCTTTTTATTATAGTTTTAGATTTTAGATTACTAACTAATAATACCCTTGTGAAGTCATGTATTGATGAAGAAACATAAAGAATGGTTCATCCCCCTTCTGAGATTTCCTTTATCAAGCGTGTCTGTATAATCATAAAGATTCTTTTAGATTATACATGCTCGCTATATTCAAGTCTTCCAATCAAATAATACCCGAGTCCCGTAAATAGAATTAAATATGAAGAAGATACATAATGAGGGGGTCTTTTGCCCACCACATGTTTGTTCATTTTCCTCCAATAGCTACCATCACTAAGTGCACGAGATTAAAGTCCTGTTTGTGTTGCACTGCTCATTATCTTTTAAGGAGTAAGAAAAGCAAAATAAAAAAAGACTAGGACACATCAGATCACATCCATTTGATTTAACAAAGCCATTAGCCACAGGCACTTCTGACTCTGACAAACTTGAGAAGGACATATCAAATGAAGCCAAAATCTTGATGGCTTGTAAGCACTAACTCGTATTAAAAACATGATAAGGAACCCTTTTTCCCAAACTAGAGCTGCAGCCATGGTGGGCTCCAATCCTAGCATTTTGCCTTTTTTGGGGTTGTGCGCATGGTACAGTAGCACTCCTGGGGTGTTCATAGTGCACACTAAAAAATTTTTCCTTACTGACCCAAATACGCCAAATTGCACATGTGTGCCAAACTATTGATGCGCGTGGGAGCAAGTATGGCGGCTAAATCCCGCTTCACTCCTTACCAACTATTGCTATTGTCTCGCAGCTAAGGGCTGCGTGGGGACAACATGTCCCTCAAATCTAGTTACGTTTTCAAACAAAGATGGGTCCTAGTGTGCCATGAAGTTGGGAACACATGCTAGATGATGTGTATTCTTGTGGGGTCGTCCACGGTGGTTGTCGGGGGGCGCATAGTGGGACCAATCATGGGTTGTGGTTGCATTATTATTATGATTTAAACTACGGAGTGAGGAGGAGGACGTGGCTTTCAGGCTTGTTGGTTTTAGAAAGGTGACCACTTTTAGTGGGACCAGAGCTTTGGATTTCAATTCCTAAAATCCATTTCTTTATCTCTTCAAAATACCCAACAATTAATGTAAGAAAGCAAGATTTTGGCTTGATACTTTTGATGTGAAAAGGTGAGAATTGGGATTTCGTTAAGAGTTTGTTGTTTGAGACTTTTTAAGTGAGATTTGATTCTGCAAAGTGGTTGACCATTTTTTATTTTTCCTTTGTGATGAGTGCGGAAGATAAAGGGAAAGAGTTTAATTTGCAAATAGTGCGAGTGTTTGTGTGTGCCTGTGTTGGTATGCTAGTGTTGGCTTGCGTGTGAGAGTAAGATAGCAAAAGTGTGGCTTAGGAGATAGTGTTTGAGTTTGGTGGTGCGCGTGCATCACAAAGAGGTGGATTGTGGCCATAATGGAGGTTGCCAGCCACACCCATCAGATTTATTCATGACGCCATACATTCTGCATCATTTCTACCTCTTAAAACTGCAAAATTTGATTCTGAACTCACAAATTTTCATCATTGCTCTCCCATCTTTTCTACCCCAAAATGTAGTTTATTCAGTCCCCCTTCTACCATTTGGTTAGTCTTCTACCTAGCTCTTTCTTTTTCAAATAATTACGTCCACTCATCTATATTGAAAAAGGGGAAGCTTCTCCAATGTTGATTGTGTAGAATTATTAATATAATCTTGACTATACTCTTAAATTGAAAGCCAAGAAGATTACAAACATGATGGAGAAGGTCGTTTTAGCTGTAGGCAGACCAGCTGCCAAAACTTCCTCTAAAAGACGATAAAGCACTAATTACTCCCTTTTACTTCAAAATTACTGTTCCCCTTCCTCATAAACCTAGCCTTGTTAAATTAAACATTATGATCCAAATCAACTTGATGGCTGACCAAATTAGAGTAGAGTTATGTTTGAGCTGGGGTTTAGTTAAAGAAGACAATATAATATGCTCTGTCTAGCAGTTAGAATCATATGTATTCGTATTATAACATAAGATCTTATCAACCTAAAAAAGTTAAATCTTCCGGGTAACATAATGATAAAGCGTTCTTTGATTACTTTCTAACCCCTATACTTTTGAAGACTAATCACTTGGAAGATAAAGAGAATCCTTTTTTTAATTTGAAATCTGACATGGTTAGCAACAGTGCATGCATGCCTTGGTAAATACAGAAAACAAGCCACTAAAATAAATAAATATAATGATAATGCCACCTAGCAACATGAAATTGCATGAAGAATAAAAATGATGCAAGTGCTTTTCATTTCACGTACGGGCCTCCCCCAATTCATGGATATTCTCATTATTTTTCTGCCACGCCTGATTCCTTTTGTATTGTTTTTTTCTTAATAAATATTCTTCTGCATAATAACAATTATCGTTCTAACTCAAAAAATGGATGGCATTTTGGGCACGTCCGTTTAACACCTGCTCTCCTTGGAATAGACAAGGCTGTCTCCATCAGCTGAGTTGTTTTTTCTCCTTTTCCATTATGCAGTAGCCATTATCAGTATTTCAGTATTAAGGGGTGCACACATTACACGCAGTCCTAAGCAATTGGATCCTTTACTTATAATTCTTTTTTTCTTTTTTTATTGCAAAGTAACTATGCTGTGCTCTGCTCATAACCTCTATTGCTGGTAATATAGCTCTAATTGAGAGGTTTAATTACCTATAGCAAGCTAATAATTGTCTTGCACAACTGACAACAGTTAGCCCTGGTTTATAATTGTTGTCCTGCGGAACAACATCTAGCTCGGTTTATGATTATGTTTCTGCTTTATTTGAAGTATCATTCGAATAGTTTTGTTGAATGTGTTTCTGCTTTATTTGAACTATCATTCAGATAGTTATGTTGAATGTTTGAATTTTGACTGATTAAATCAAATTCCTTTCAGTAACTCATGCCTTGGAAACATACTGGATTTTATTTTCCTCTGTGATTGTGAAAAGAAGTTTACCATATGGCTTACAATTATGTCTGTCATCTTCTTGCAACAGGTCAACCAGGTCCTCTAGTCAAAATAGGCCCCCCTGTCCTTAATCTAAAAATCTTTGGATAAACGGGGAAAAAGTAAAGAAAAGATAGGGTTTTTGGATATTTATGGTATCTTAGATAGATACATGTACACATAAAGATTTCATATCTATTAAGAGAATTGTACAATTTATATTTTATGGAAGTTGACAAAACTAAGAATCAAGATTGAAGATCCTTGTACCATTGGATGGTATAAAGTTCTTGCTGTAAAAAAAATATTCCATCAAGGACATGGATATACTTGGTGACTAATTTTCCCCAACACGGGATAGGTCTGTTCCCATCAACATGAAAATAAATACGAGTCTTATGCATTACAAACAATATAATGGATAAATTGATTTATAATATTGATGAGTAATTAATAGAGTAACTTGTTGTAATTTTTTTAAAAAATATTTTGTATTGATTTTAAATCGACTTTCCATTTGAAAGGTAAAGAGAGTAAAGTATAAACTTGCTGTGTTTGCTTGACCACTGCAAATTTAGTGATAAACGATATGTGTGTAGTCGATTTCAATTAAGTGTTGGTTTTGTAAATTCACAAGTCGTGATCAAACATCTCAACAGTTTGGATGCATAGAATAGGCAGGGACAAGGAACAAGCAATTGATGTGTTTGGGCATATATTCTGTTTCCTATTGCTGTCTCTGATGGAAGAGAAGATTTCATATTTAAAAAAAGCAAAAATGAAAGAAAACATAAGAAACTGTTGTATATCATCATCCTATTCACTTCATTATGCCTACAATCATGATTCTTGGTTCCGTCACCCGCATGCTCTCTTCTAAACCCTCCCTACTTCCTATACACTCACTCTCATTCTTATTCACACACCTATAAATCCCATTGACCCCAATCTTTTCTCTCACCTCCTCTTCTACATTCCAATCACACTTTTCTCTCTCATCTTTATCCCTTCACCTCCTAAAACCTACGTTTTGCTCTGTTTTACTCTGTTACATCTTCGTTTCCCACATAGCACTACGCATTCAAGCCAATGGCTGTTTCTGGTTTTGAAGGGTTTGAGAAGCGCTTGGAGCTCCATTTCTTTGGAGATGATCCAGTTTTTCACCAACTGGGTCTTAGGAAACTTGAATTTGAATCACTCCAACAAGTCCTTGAAGCTGTTCAATGCACTGTAGTTTCAGCGGTCGGCAACTCCTACTTCGATGCTTATGTGTTATCAGAATCGAGCCTCTTTGTCTACCCAACCAAGATCATCATCAAGACTTGTGGGACCACTCAACTGCTCAAATCCATCCGTCCCTTGATCTACTATGCTCAGCATCACTTAGGCCTCACCCTCTGCTCTTGCCGCTACACCAGAGGCAGCTTCATCTTCCCAAAGTCTCAGCCTTTCCCTCATACTAGCTTCAAAGATGAAGTTATGTATTTGGAAGAGACCATCCCCGCAAATCTCTGCTACAGAAAAGCTTCAATCATGCCTTCCAAATCTTCTTCTCATTGTTGGCATGTTTTCACAGCTAGTGATGATTCTGACCTACCTTACCTCCGTGACAATGAATCGTCATCGTCATACACCATGGAGATCTGTATGACAGAGCTCGATCCAGTCCTCGCTCGCAAGTTCTTCCGGCCGCCTGAGGATGGGAAAACGGGGGACTCTGCTGGGAAGGACATGACGGAGCTCACAGGCATCAATGAGATCAACCCTGAAGCACTTATCTGTGACTTTGCATTTGATCCTTGTGGGTATTCTATGAATGGCATGGATGGGGATCGGTACTCCACCATTCATGTCACTCCAGAGGATGGTTACAGTTATGCAAGCTTTGAATGTGTAGGCTCCGTGAACGATGATATAGTGCATGTACTAAGGAAGGTGGCTCATATTTTCCGACCAGGTACTATGTCTGTGTCCACCACGTGCAGTGACTATGAAAACGAGATATGGACGCGTGTGGCAAGTGCCGTTGAGCCTCTGGGTTTGAAATGCCGGAGTTGTGCAATGGACCAGTTTCCTGCAGCTGGCAGTGTTGTGTTTCAAACGTTTACATCTCGCCGGAGAAGCACTTAAAACCCCAAGATTTAAGGGGTGACAACAGTGACGAGAATGGCGGCAACAGCGGTCGGAAGTAGCGGAGGGAGAGATAGTAGATAGGGAGTTAGAATTAGTTGAAAATTCTGGGGGATGATGGATGACATGGCTAAATGTGATTATTGTGGATTATGAATGTTGGGGCTGACTTGCTTAGAAAGATACAAAAGAAAAATGGTAATCAAGTTTGAAGAGCTAAGAGATGAAGGTATTGGTTATGGAAGGAAGGGAGGGGTTCTGAGTCAAGTTTTCTTAGGCGTTTGTTATTGAGTTTTTTAATAAATATATGATATGTGGATAAATTCTTTTGAAACATTTAATTATGTGACTTTGAATTATAAAAAAATTCCACTTATCATATCTTTATTAAAAAATTTAATAACCAGTATTTAAAAACTGTATTTAAATTTTGTCTATTTCAAAATAGTGAAAAAAAGGGAAGGTGGGAAGGTAGGGTGGGGGAAGGTGTTTACTGGATGATCATGATAATGCACCCCACTTAGGCCTGTCACGCCTAAGATTTTTGAGCTTGTGTAGTGGGTTTTTAAAGTGCTCTTGTTTGAGGCTATGTTGATCTCTCTCTCCCCCTCCTCCCCTCCTCTATCATCTACCTCTCTTGTCTTTTATGCTCTGTTTCTAGATTATTATAGAACAAAATCTTGCTTTTGGCATATAATTATCAATTATATCCCTTCATTCTTGGTCTGTTACACCCAGTTATGGGAACCCTGCAATCAAAAAGAATATATGTGCATGAAGCAATACCAGAGTGTTTGTATGGAAAATTTTGACTGGTCATATTACAATTTCTTTTTGCATGGGCTTTTCACTTCGCAGGGAATATCCTTTTAGCTAGTGCTTAAGACACAAAAGAAAGTGGGTATACAAATATAAGGGAAATATTTGTTATTTTTTAAGCTCAAAGTAACGACCCTATCTACCTTCCCTTCTGGTCTTGCAGATAAAATATGGTGTTAGTGTTGGTGGTGGTGGTGGTATGTAACTTAACATGCACGTGGCCATAATTGAATTTGGGTGACAGGCAAGCCATGTAGAATAAGGGAAATAGATGACAAAAGACACAAAAGTAGGAGACAGGTAGAGAAGCAATAATAGTTTGTCCCAAGTTCATATATATATATATATATATATATATGCATATATCAGTTTGCCTTTTAGATAAACAAGGGAGATCTAACCAAAAAGGTTCATAATAACCCAATGTGTTTGATATAGTACGAGCCACACCACCTAAGACATGGATACAAGTAGGCGCACGGTATTTACGATGTCTTCTTTTTGATCCCTCTCTTTTCAGGGAGATAGAGCCTAGATTGTGTAGTTTGAAGGATTTTAGAAACAGAAGGTAAAGAAAAATTGTCCATGGATGCATCTTTTCCCCCACTTTTTGGGTGTGCAAACAATGGGGGAAAAGAGAAGATCTAGATTCCAAAATTTGTGCGAAACTTGGTAAAATGTAACCCCTCCTGAAATAAATGCCGGGGCAGGGGACGTGAAGTTCCAGATTTTACTTTCCAAAATTATCTTTGTTTTGTTATTCACCGCTACTAGGCACTCCCTTCGGAGAAGTAACATTTTCTTGCATTAATTATCGCACATTATTTCTCACTTACTCTCTTCGTAGACATGGCATTTTTGAAAAATAAATTACATTTTTAACATTTTTTTAAACTAACTTTAATCAATATTTTCATTTTCGTGATTTGATTTAAATTTAATGCCTTTTTATATATGTTTTTTTTTTTGTTGAAATCAAAGTAAAAAGGAGAAACTTATTTAACTGTGAACTGACTATATAATTATAAATTAAAAAAAGTTACAGATCTAATTCATTAAAAGCTAGGTGAAGCCAAATTTATTTATATACTCCATTGAATTTTTAATATAAAAGTTACTTAGTTAATTTAGATAGATAAAAAAAATTAGTTGGCAAAAAGATAGATAAAAAATTAAATAAATTAGTTAATTATGATAAATAAGATATCATCTCTCACAAATGCCTCTATATAACATTAGATTACATATCAATTTACGAGTTTAGTAATTAATTTGGACAAAAATAATAAATATAAGAAACAGACTGAATTAAAATATTATATCTAGTATCAAATCTAACATCCCAATCGGCTCCTATATTAGGATGAGGAGGAAGCAATTTTTATCAGTAGCCAAAAATATTTGTGTCAAAATTAATAGTATGAGAATGATTAGTTGGTGAATTGTATCGTCTAAGACTTTGTTTGGAATCATGATTGAAATCACTTATAAAAACATTTTAAATAAGTTAAGATAAAACTCTTCTCATATATTTATTTTGTATTTTGTAAAGTATGATTAAAAAAATGCTTATATATTTTTTTTTGGTAAAAAAAATGCTTATTCTAAACGAGTCCTAATACTTCCTGGATGCCAGTCGACACCACTAAGGAAAGAGAATTTTCCCTTTTCCCTTTGTCTCGCGCACAGGTGGAGAATGTGGGACAGTGAGAGTACCACAGCACTTTGGCCAAAAAAAGAGAGAATGAGAGGCTAGGGAGTGGGAGGAACAAATTAGTGGACCTTTTGTCTAAACTTAAAAAATTAGTAATTCCTAGAAAATATAAATATTTTATGAAAAATATTTTGTCTTGTCAAGGTTTTATTAAAAAAAATGATTTTGTTTATTTTGTTACAATAATTAAAAAAATATTATCATTATTTTTTTTTTATTGAACTCAAGATATTAGCAGCGACCAATCTTTTTGCAGAGTATATTTTTCGAAGGGGCTTCACTGTTAGTCACGAGACTTTCTTTACACGCACCATCAGGGATCATTATTATTCAGTAATTTTCAAATTTTATGATATGTCTGTATATTTCTATTGATAAAATGATTTTATTATTTGGTTGGTTTTAAATTTTTCATATCTCCACATATTTTCATATTTTAATGGAGTTTTTTTTCTTATTTACTGCATCTAATTATTTCCAGAAACTACTCAACTAGTTTCCAGGAATAATTTTAAAAAAATATTTTCTATTTTTCATTCTGATTATTTTCATAAATTTTGAAAAATTAATTTTTTAAAAAAGAAAAAGCAAGTGATTATTTCATTAAAAACAAGCTTAAATAAACGATCTTTTGTTTTTTTGGCTTTGATGTGTAAGGTTCAAGGCTCCAAGATCTATCCAAGAATAATGTTGGCTATTTATGAAAACCAAGAAGCTCCCATTTTATGGATTTTCTATTTTCTTACAATGAACATGATAGTTCTTATTCCATATAGTTCAATCAAATTTCCAATAGTATTATCAAAAACTCCACAGAACTAATTTGTTTTTGTCTTTCTAACCTGTTTTCCATTTCCTGCTGTTAAAAATTAAAAAAAAAAAGGAACAAAATAATGTCAAGAAAAGTAATTGGGCTTTATCAGGAGAAATGCTATTAAACTGGGCCCACACTATAATGGGGCTGGGCCCATTGTGGGCTTCTTCTGCCCCACAATGAATCTTGAAGACCCCATTTCTTCAACCCAAAGATACTGACCCGCTTGCCCCAAAATGGTGGTCCTGTATTCAACTTTATTTTCGGTTGGGAGAATTTCCCTGTAGGTGTAGGGACTGAACTAAAGTCACGGGGTTTCTTTAATATAAAAACTAGTTAAAAATTAAATTTATTCATAAATATAAAATCTCAATTTATTTTATTTTTTAAGTCTATAATATTTAATCTAAAATATTCCTGTTGATTATGAAGAGTTTCTATTAGGAGAAATTTTCTAATGCATATGATTAAAAAAGATTATTTAAGAAAGCCCACATATATACTATGATTAACTAATTCAACTAATTTTTTTAATTTTTTTCAAATTAGTTATTTAGTTGTTATATTAAAAAACGGAAATAGTATTTTGTTAGTTGATTACCAAAATGTCCTTCACTTACTGTGGGGGAAAAAAGGCATCCCTCCAGGCTCCGTCGCAGACACTGGCAATTATATATTGGCCATTTTCATTTCATCCAATCAAATCTAAATTTTGATGAGGAGGATTGGCTACTGAAATGTGGTTGGATATCTATAAATATTTGTTTTTTTTTAATAGTTTCTGCACATTCCAATTTGCCACTAGTGGGAGAGTTATGATCACGCTCATGAATTCATATCAATATATCTGTACCTAATAATTTAAAAAAAAAAAAGGAAGTTATAAATAGGTCACACGATAGACATATTTACAATTCAGCCATGCAAATCTAATGAGACAGGTCATTCGGCATTTGAGTATCATTTTTACACATGCAAGAAACAAAACTACCCCTTGTTCAATTTTTTTGATACGCCTATTTAATTGGATTAAATTTGAGCCAAATCATGTTTAATTGGGAACGGCTCTTTTATAGGCATTTTCTGTATTTAGGAGGTGTTTGGATGAAAACCAAACCATGATTTTAAAAATGTTTTTACGGTATACGAGGCAAATATATAGAGGAGTTTGTCTTGTTTTGAGGAAAAGTGATTTTGAGAAGCACTTTTTAGTACTTCCAAACACCCCCTTAGACAGATTCAAATTCAAGAGCTTATGTTTAATCCTACCATTAAAACCAAGGCTTATTGGTACCCTTTATTCAAATTTTACATATAAACTTATAAGTCAAATTTCTAGACTTGCAACTTAGAACTCGTAAATTTATGAGTGAATTTGCGTAATTTTTGTATTATTTAAAAATACATTTTAAAGATATTTATTACATTTAACAAATTTTAATACAAGTTTTTAATCCACTGAATTTAATTATTTGTAATTGAAAAGAATTGAAAGGAGCACTATGAAAGGAATTAGCTTCCATTAATGTTTCTATAATGTCTAACCATCTTTTCAAAATAAAATTATAGATTAAAATATAAATTTATTTTAAAAGTTTTCACTTAAAAGTATAGTTTGGATGCAAAATTTAAAACCATGACAGTTTTTTTCTATCATTAAAATGTTAAAAGTTACTCCCTCCGTTCCTTATTATAAGAGACAAATAACTGAAATATGTTGATCAAAAAAACAGTTAAAATTAGTTAAGAACAATTAATGTGTAAAAAGTATAATTTTTTTTCCAAAAATGCCCTCATTAATAAGGAGAGAGCATGAGAGAGAACAATTAAATTATTAAAAGAAAGAGAAGTGGGAGGGAGAGAGAGTGTGAGTTGGAGATAATAAATATGGGTAAAATAGTAAATCAACACAAAAAGGTAGAGACAACTTGTAAGTGTCTCTTATATATAGGAACATGCCATAAGTATCAAATGTCTCTTATAATAAAGAACGGAGGGAGTAATATCATTATTCTAACAATCAATATTAATTTAATGTTAGGGAATAAATCTTTTATGACAAGTTTGCATCAAAATTTTTTTTTTCAGATGTCCTATTTAAGTATTTAAGTAAAAGCTTTCAAAATAAATTTATTCTTTTTAATTCAAAAATTATTGACTTTTTTTACCCCAAAGGAAAGGTGTGAAGGGCACCTGTGATCAGCGCATGTGCGCATTGCAGCCCTGCAACGCCGTGGCGACAGTTTAAAAACCGAACGATAGTAATTGACCTCGAGATGTCATTAAAATGCCCCAAACAACCTCATTGCTATTATTAGTTGATCACCCATTAATTAATTCCTTTGTCGCCATACGTTTGAAATTTGTGCTTGTCTTTTTCTGGTCTTTTGGCAAGAAAAAAACAAAAAACTTTTTCCATTTGTCGATTTCCTCTGTCCATTTTTCTCTTCCCTTGCCCACTGTTCTGCATTGAGTTTTGTTTTTTTTGCGGGGTGGGTGTTTTCTTGGCCTGTGGTTTGTCTTCCTTCTGAGACAAACCCACCCGTCCATGCGCATATTCACGCCCAATCCCAATCAATATCTCTGTCTCTTTCTCCCTCTGGTTCTTGTTGAAGGAAAAAATTTCATCTTCCTTTGATTCCCTCTTATTCCTGGGTCTTGTCTCTGCCTCCACGCAATAGTACGGTTCTTCTTTTCTTTTTGGATTGCCCCACCTCCACTTTCCTTAATGCGAAAGGTCCTTTTCTTTTTGGGATTGCCTTCTTTTGGTGGGGGTTACTTTAGGGTTTTCTGATCCTCGAGTGATTAGCTTCTTCTGGGGTTTGATTTCTCCGTAATTTTTCGAACAATTCCGTGTTTATCTCAATCTGTTAGGACAGCTTTCTTCGCGAAATGGTAATTCTTTCCTGATTTCCGTGTCTAGGGTTTGTTCATGTTTCTAAGAATGTTGAGTTTCAGAAACACCTACCGGTTCTTCCTACCCAGAATCAGCTTACCTGTATATATGAGCCACCAGTGTTGTAAGCCTTAGGTGAGGATTATTTGTCTCGTTCGAGGTTCCCTTTGAAACATGGGTTGTGTCCATGGCAAGTGTTGTCGCGGCTACATTCCGCCGTCGGAGTGTGGTGGTACTAGCAGCTGCCGCGGACTCGGCCCTCGCCGTCGCCAAAGGAAACACAAATTTACTCAAAGTTCATTGAAGTTTGCTCCTGTTCCTTCCCACAACTACGTTTTAGAATACTCGTTTCTCACACAGCAAGGATACTACCCTGATTCACCTGATAAAGAAAACCAGGATACTTTCTGTATTAGGACACAGATTCAAGGTAACCCAAACGTCCATTTTTTCGGTGTCTATGATGGGCATGGTCAATGTGGTAGCCAGTGTTCGAATTTTGTTAGGGATAGGTTGATAGAAACATTATCAAATGACCCTGCATTGTTGGAGGACCCCGGTAAAGCTTATACTTCAGCATTCTTGGCAACGAATTACCAATTACACAACAGTGATATTGATGATTCTATGAGTGGCACTACTGCAATCACAGTGCTTGTTGTTGGGGACACACTTTATGTTGCTAATGTTGGTGATTCCAGAGCGGTGCTGGCAGTAAAGGATGGGAATTGCATCGTTGCTGAGAACTTGTCTAATGATCAGACACCGTTTCGGAGAGATGAGTATGAGAGAGTGAAACTTTGTGGTGCAAGGGTGTTGAGTGTTGATCAGGTGGAAGGGCTAAAGGATCCGGATGTCCAAACATGGGGTGATGAAGAGAGTCAGGGAAGCGATCCTCCAAGGTTGTGGGTTCCAAATGGGATGTATCCTGGAACTGCATTTACAAGGAGTTTAGGGGATAGTTTGGCAGAGACTATTGGTGTCATTGCTACTCCAGAAGTGTCAGTGGTTCGGCTGACACCTAATCATCTTTTCTTTATTGTGGCAAGTGATGGCATATTTGAGTTCCTATCAAGCCAAACTGTTGTTAACATGGTACGGCATGCAACTTGTTTTCGTGGTAGTTCTTTTGGTCCTTTCAATGTCTTCAAGTTACGAAGTATTTTTGTTGAGATAGTAGTTTATGCTGTTGACCAATTTTTATTAGTTGAATAGTTGAATTTGACTTGTCTGCTGTCAGTGGAAGTCTTGTGACATTTGTTAATGGCTCACTATTAAAGGCTTGAAAACATTGATGCAGTATATATCCTCCCCTAATCAAATGTTTTTGGCAACTTTAGGTTTCTCATTAAGGATCGCTGGGGGATATTATTTTAGACCATGCTTAAGCCAGTAAAGCTTACATGATAAGCTCTTCTCACAGTAGTGCTTATGTATAGTGGAACCTGGCTTGTAGTCATTATATAAAGTTCATAGTTGAAATGCTATGTACTTTGTTGTTACCTCCTTCATAATTTCTCTTGATAAATTCTGATACTTTTATAATGTAGGCAGCAAGCTACACAGATCCTGGTGAAGCATGTGCTGCCATTGCTGGAGAGGCATATAAACTATGGTTGGAACATGAAAACCGAACAGATGATATAACAATTATCATAGTTCAGATCAAAGGCCTATCTAATGTATGGATTACTTGAACAATTCAAGGGCTTCTTTTAATTTTAATGTTTTTATTCTTGCATATAGGTTTTTATGAATATGTTAAATAAATCTTGTATGCCCATCAATATTTTTGACCACCTAAGAAAATACAGATGGCAAGAAAACGACTTTTTATTGTGAAAATTCTCCTGGGTCGGTATTCTAAGCTAGTAATTTGCTATCGTGCATTTATTGTATATTGTATGCCCACTAATATTTGTTTTGATCATTTAGGCAGGTACGTCTGGAGTTGGAGTAGATAATATTAATGTTAGTACGGCAACGCGGGCAAGGAGAGGAACTTCTGAAGTATCTACTACCACTTCATCGGATGTTTATTGTTCTGTGAGGAGTGAGCTCTCTGATCAACAGTGCTGTCAGAACGTAGTTTCAATGAGAAGCCCAGCTATAATTGTCCCATCTCCATCATGCCAAAGACCGGTTGAAGAGGTTAGTGCCTTTTTTTTGTTTTTTTGGTGTCTTCTGATTATGATCCCTAGTATAAGTGTCGGTGACCACTTCAGTTCAAAACTTAGATTGGTTGAGTAAGGGCTCAGAACTAGTTTATTACAATATCCCCAACACTAAGTCCTTCCCTTTCCATTTACAGTGATTGAAGAGAGGCTTTATGGAAGCTTCATCAAGTTTTGTTGTAATTTCTCCCACGTGGTAGGTTTCTTCATTCTGTTTTACTCTTTTGAATTACTGTTGTATATTTACTGGCTCCATATGAGTCATATTGCAAGTTTCAAATGGTGGCTTGATTCTTCCATTGACTCAAATATAGGTATTAGAGCTGCTATGCTGTCAAAAGTGATCTTGCCCTCTTTGGAAGACCATTTCTACTTGTAATACGATCCATTCATTTCCAAGAATAAAAAGTTATATGAATGGCTTATCTTATGTAAGCTTCAGTTTTAATTCAATATATTTGTTGCCTTTTACCAAGAAAAATGCTGACTCTATTTTTATTTTTTAGGCAACTGAAGGTTCCTGCTTTGAGGAGCATATCTTAGGCAGCTGAAGGCTTCCATTTTGGAATGTAGAAAGCTGAACTGGTCAATGTTAATTTTCTTCTAATTCAGATTATAGAACCACATGAGAAGCACACAAAGCCAGTTTCCTGGGATGGCTCTGCCCCTCCAGATTTTAACATTGAGAGGGAACCTAAAGACAATTCGGGATTAAGGAGGAAGGGTCAGATCAAGGTAAAGAATTTGACATGTTTCATATTGAGTTCTCCAATGAAAATATTAAATCCAAGTCCTCTTTTGGCGAAAAAAATGATTCACGTGATGCTGAGCTGTAATAATATTTACTTGGGATGTTTTCATTGGAGGACTTGATAACAAAACATGTAGAAATTGCTTAGAGATTTTCCGGGAAAAGGAACTTATGCAGCACACTGGGTGCTTACAAACTGAGGAAACTCAAACACACAAGGTGGCAAACTGGGTCGGCAGAACTGCCTTTTTTTAGCATCCAAAGCAGATCCATGTTCTCTCAGTGCAGATGCTGGATCGGCTCCATTGTTGTGTGAATCAGAACAATATCTGCGTTTTTTATTTGCATTGCAAGATCAATTCCATGTAAAATGCCGAATTATTAATTTTCCTTTCCTTGGGTAGGTGAAGGAATCAAGTTTTCAATCCAACACATTTTGGATATTTTTTTTCCACGTCTCTCTACTAGATTCATTGATGCCTTGTGGCCTTCCAAAATGTTGAATTCTCAGTGTTGACAATAAATAAGTTCTTTTACATTATCAGTTTGTTAAACGGGATTAAAAAAATTACTTGTAATAGTATAGAAGCAGTAATGGAATTAATCTCTCTCTCTCTCTCTCTCACAAATCTGTGCAGCTCTGAAATGCCTTGTTAAATGAATCATCATCAATACATCTGACAAAATTATACTTGTCACCTGTGTATATTGCGGTTATTTCGAAAAGTCCGCTCCAATTTGCATATAATCAATGATTTATAGATACGCATAATCTCAGCGAAGCGATGAAACTAGATCAGTGGATATCAAACAAGCGTCGTCTCATATGATTTAATTAGTCGCTTCAACTAATGATTTGACAGTTGAATTAGTGATTCGTTGATCCAATTCTTGCTTCATTTCCCGCATAAGATTAGCGAGCATTTACCTTGGCTTCGTATTTTAACTCCTTTGGAGTTTTCATTCTCGTACAAGCTACAAACCTTGGCTCCCCAACCCAGGAGTAGCCATGGATTCTGAATGCCGTATGCTGCTTATTTTGGCACACTTCAAAAGCAGCTAAACAAAATGATTTTATACTGATCAAGACAAAACCCTTGTCACCTACTTACCATATATACTGGAAAATCACTTTTAAAAAACTAATCCAAACACTACTAAATTCATCTAAATTCAGGTTTATGTCGATCAAGAATTAGTGGTTATCATTTGTATTATAGTTGCATTTTCTACATGAGTTGAGACAGACAGGAGGGTAGATAAACATGATATTCTCATTTTCTGGACAAAACTGCCTAAAAACACGCTTTGGGTTAACATATATTCTTATCCTCCCTCTTTTTTCTTCTTTTGACGCAATTCCCTCTATATATTGGTCCAGCGTAATGTAAAATACAAGCATCACAAAATCATTAAGCAGATCAGAAGTACAGAGAAAGCTTCTCATCTATGACATTCTGCAGCAAATTGCACTGCTCCAGTAGTCTGCTTAACTTCTCAGCTTCGCTGTTTGCTTTGCCATTTGTTAGGACTTCACTTCTAGCATTGTCTAATCCATGTGAGGAAACTGTGTTATCAACGCTGGGCAGTTCATCCATTGCAGAATCCCTCAAATCACCTGGGCTAACAGTTTCATTCATCACATCATCTGTGTTCTGTGAAAGTTGAAGAGGCCTTGATTGACTCTTCATGAGGATAGGAGAGCCACATCCAACTTCAATTATCTCATCCAAAGACGCACTTTGATAAAATAATGAAGGCGAATTAGCTTCAAAGTTCACATCCATATCTGAACTCGGAGGAGAAACGCGAGTCTGTTCTGATATGTAAGCTGAAGAGACTTCGCCACTGGATAAACTCATCAATCTCCAATTGAAGATTCGACGGAAGATCATGGTCCACTGCGGAACTATATGGTAATTTGAGCCGCAAAGCTCGAGTCTAGCACATGACTGCAGCATGACATGTGCCTCTTTTGTTGCCAATGGGACTCCCATGATCTTACTAGTATCGGTCAGGTAATGAATCAAGCTACTTTCAAGCCTTAACCTGAGGTTCTCAATGTCATGTTTTGCTTTAGAGCCAACGGCCAACCAGGATAGATCATCACCAAACGAGGGGAGCTTGCAATCTTGGAAAGCCCTGATGATTTGTCCTATTTTTGGATTGGAGCTCCAACCTGATGGTGGCAAGTAGTTTTTCAGCAATATATCCTCATAACTAGACTGGTCAAGCATACCAATCTCAGGACACGGCCAACCAGCAGGATTTGCATTAGCAGCAGCAACAATCTCCTGTAATGATCGATCTAAAGCTTCATTGAACACTGAGATACAGTCAGTAGGACCCAACCTCGAGTTATTGGAGCTACACAGTACCCTCAACAAGGAACTATGATAGGTATGAACAAGTTCTCGCACTCTCACATACTGTAGGGCGGGCTGCAAGGGTGACTCTCCTGCCAGCCACTCCAGCCCCTCTCTTAATCGTCTGTCACTGAAAAATCCACCCAAGTGTTCTATCTGTTGATTCTCAATAGGGAAGACAAGCAGAAAGCCACTAACGCGGGATTTATCAATATCATCAAGGCCCAGTTCATTAATTATAACAGGAGAAAATCCTTTATCATATGAACCACATAAGATCAGAAGGGGTAAGTGAGCACCAGTGGGAATTGACGTGAGAATATTATGGAGTTGAACTCTTTGAAGTTTCCATGGGATGCTCTCAGATACAAGAAATAAAACTGCACTTGCCCCAGATACTGTTTCATCTCCAACACAGAAAGATGTGTCCCTAATTACAGAGAAGCAGCAAATAGGATCAGCACCACATTGCCCAGGAACCCATTTCTTCCATATTGTCAGGCCAGGCGAAGAAATAACCACATCCTCGTCACAGGAAGGCATGAGCTTTGAGATCAACCACGAGCCTGCTGCACCCATTTTAAGTCCTTTGTCCGCCTGAGAACAGAGGATAATTTTCCAGCACAAACATTTGACACCTGAGTTTCTTCTTCGTAGTATGTCACCGGCCATTTCTGAAATATTAAGTCTTGCCCAGGACTTTTCCTGCTTTTCGTATCTCTCTCTCACGGCTTCATCAACGTCAAACTTGTCAAAGTTGCTTGGTTGCTACATAGAGAGTAAAAAAGATAAGGAAGTCAGTACATTATACTAAGTTAAGGATCGGTAAAGGTCTTGATAGTTATGTAAAAGTTATATATATACACAAACATAAATTGGAGCAAAAATAAAGAGGGGAAAAGTGCCAATAAAGGGGTCACTAAATCATAATCAGCCCTACAAGAAAACTCTCACTAACCCTGCAGCTAATGTAAAAAGAAAATGCACAGCAGAATTGGTTTAAATTCACGCTTAGCAATCTTACACCAATGTAATGTCGTATAGGTGGTCCCAGTGACAACGACTCCAATGCAGCATTTGCTGCAAATTCCCTTTGTTCACGTAGCATCCTCAACTTTGACGTCCGTCTCTTCCATAACCTGACAGGGTAGACATATAAAATAGATTGACTTCAAACAAGTAACAAACATAACAAATGCAAGTTAGGTAACAAAAAAATAGGCAACAAAACAAGGCTAGAAAACCTTAAGAATAGCTTGAGCTTAGCTGCAGAAATTTCTTCATCTAGATCATTTTCTTCAGCTTCGTCAATTTCATCTTCGTTTACTTGGTTAACGAGTAGAGGTTCATCTTGAGATGCACCTTGGGGCACAGTATCAGCCACAGAAAAATGAAAGCCATATCCTCTTGAGCTTTCTGATGGAGACAGTTTTGTCACACTCTCAAGGAGCCTTCCATCCAGCTCTGAATGAAAGATTCTCTTAGGAGAGCTTGTGAATATAGCATCAGAGTTAGTACGCTTAGTAAGTACAGATCTGGTTGGCTGTGGTTCAGGTATACCACGATTAAAGAAGCCAATTGGTGACGAAAAAGGCATAGTAAAACTATGATCAGTTTCACTATGTTCAACTGCAATCGGCATTTCCTGAAATTTCCTTCCAGATCTACCATCCTTTGGGGACAAAATAGCTTCAGAGTCGGCCATTTCTTCATCAACCTTCTCAATTGAACTAACTTCTTTGACAGATTGTTGCTCATTCTCATACTTCTTCTGTATCTGGATCTTGTTTGTTGTCTCAACAGGTGGCAATACAACTTGATCTGAGGGTGAAACATCTTCTATTATCGTTTCTGACCTTTTCTTGTGAACTAGTTTGGAACACTTGGTGGGATAATCATTATCAATATTGAGAAATGGCCCTTCCCTCACCATATATGGTTCTTCAAATGTTTTCACCAAGAACCCATGATACTCTAGCAGGCCGTCTATGTCCTCATCCTATGTTTGGTGACAAATCCACATGTAAGACGACGTCGGGAAATCCTTCCACCCAATGCCCTCCTCAAGACAAAAGGAAAGAATGAAGAGAAAAAGCATTTCTCCAAGTCAAAGCAAGAAAATTACCTCCATAGCAAGCCAGTTAGCAACATGCGAAACAGGGAGACCTTGGTTATTTTGCAAACCAGCATGTAAAGAACCAAGTGCCTGGGTACGCAACTGGTGAAGATGACAAAGCATATAAAAAAAATGAGTTTGATTCACCATAAGAGAAAATTAAATAACAGTTATTTAGACAATGCAAAAGGTGAAATCAATGAACTTAACTGGGTTTTTTTGTTGCTTTTTTTGTTTGGGGGGGTGTTCATGCTTAGTATTTCTTTTGGTAATTAAGTATAGTTTGTTTTTCATGCATCAAATGATTAATTTCATAGAGCAAATAAACCATATACGTCTCATCCTAGAAAAAGAAAATGCACTAGCTTGCCTTCAATTAAGTAGCACTTTCCAAGAGCACCTGTATGTATTCATCCACTTAAGTTAGGGAAGTGCATGCAGAGTCTACAAATATTACCCTAGGTTCATGGTTTGTTTTGAGCCCCATAACACATTATGCAATTCACTAAACACAAAAAGTAACAATGATACATACCTTTGCAAAGTGAGCATGCATTAGACACGCTTGAAGATAACTTGCCTTTCTAGCAAGCCGAAAGAAGGCAATAAAATTACCAGTTCGGCAAGCCCTGCACAGGCAAAGGAAAAATAATGATCAGACTGGAAACATAATAGCCAAAGTAAATTAACTTCGGTGGAAATTACAACCTTGCTACTTTGCGGGCAAACAGAACTTCTGGAGTCTGCCTGGTCTCAGGAGTCATCTTAGCAAGATCAAGAGAGAGTTCTGCCGGTTCAACCTAGCAGAACTAGTTTTCACCAATCTATCTATTATCATATAGAAACCTTAAAGATGATTTACTATACAGATCACTTACTTTATAACCAGGATGCTTGTCCAATTTAAGGAGAGCATAGTAGCCTCGAAACTCCTTCTCTGTTGGCACATTTATTCCCTTCTTTCTGTGATCATCATACATCTGAAACAAGTCTACTGAAGTTTTGTTCATCTGTTCAATGTTCAGGTGAGCATCAAATCCTTCTGAAAAGCCCTCCCCT